GGAAAGAAGGAGCAAAACTGCATGTAGAAGCTCTATCAGAGGAGACTGTAGTAAATGAAAGAGCTAAGCTATATGTGGAGGCCCTAACAAACCACAGCAGAGCCCAGGGAAAGCCGAGAAGGGAAAATGACAGGCCACTGAGCCCAAGTACATTAGCTAGTGAAACTGAAGAAAGGAAAGCTGCAACGGAGGAAATTAAATTGAATGAGGGGACGCACAAGGATATGCAGTGAGAGAATGAAAGGGAGAGGTCAGTCTTTGTGTATGGGCTCCAGGAAGCTGAAGGGGAAACATATGAAACAAGAAAACAAGGGAAAAAAACAATTGAAAGCATCATAAAAGCAATAGGAGAAGACGAGGTGACTCAGCTGGAAAATTTTCGGATAATAGGGGGGTTTGTAAAACAAAGTGCCCGGCCAGTGAAAATGACCTTCAAGGCAGAATTGACTCGGAACAGGATCCTGCAGGAGAAAGCACGATTAAGGGACATGCCAGCATACAGGAAGGTGTATCTCGACTGCAACAGAACACAAGAAAAAAGACAGAAACTGAGAGAGATGGTACAAAGGTGAAAGGAGGAAAGAGAGGGGATGGAGAAGACAGACAGGAGATCCCAGACCCAGGAAGAGGATCAAATACAGCTCCCCTCACAACTTCCTGTAGAAGCCCCCCAACCAGGTCAACCCCAGTGCAACCAAACACTCTAAACCAAAACACCCATGCCACATCCAATGTCCCCACCCACTGCATTACAAACTCCACCCCCACAGCAACCACCCATAGTTCCTTATCAGGGCTCCCACTTCTCCAACCCCAATATACCTCCCAGACCACAGTCTTAGAAAAGAAGTTGAAGGTGTGGTATACATATGCAGATGGAATAAAAAATAAGTATGAGGAGTGGCATGAAAGAATCAAGGAGACATCCCCAGACATAATAGCACTCACAGAAACAAAACTCACCAGAATAATAACAGATTCAATCTTTCCATCCGGATATCAAATCCTCAGGAAAGACAGAGGGAGGAGAGGGGGAGGAGGAGTTGCACTGCTAATTAAAAACCAGTGGGGTTTTGAGAAAATGGAAGGAATGGATGGCACGGGACGGGACTACTTAGTAGGAACAATCCAGTCTGAGGGACATAAGGTGATAATTGCAGTAATGTGCAACCCACCACAGAACTGCAGGAGGCCAAGAGAAGAATACGATGAGAGCAACAGAGCAATGGTCGACACACTAGCCGAGGTGGCCAGGAGAGCACACATGGGGGAGCAAAGTTACTAGCTATGGGTGATTTCAATCACAAGGAGATTGACTGGGAAAACCTGGAGCCCCATGGGGGTCCCGAAACATGGAGAGCTAAGATGATGGATGTGGTACTGGAAAACCTCATGCATCAACATGTTAGAGACACTACCAGAGAGAGAGAGAGGAGAGGATGAACCAGCAAGACCGGACCTTGTATTCACCTAGAGTAGTTCGGACATCGAGGATATCATGTATGAAAGGCCCCTGGGAGCTAGTGATCATGTGGTTCTGTGCTTCGACTACATAGTTGAGCTCCAAGTGGAGAGAGTAACAGGAATAGGGTGGGAAAAAACAAACTACAAAAGGGGGAACTACTCAGGCATGAGAAACTTCCTGCAAGACATTCAGTGGGAGAGGGAACTGACAGGAAAACCAGTACAAGAAATGATGGATTATGTGGCAACAAAATGCAAGGAGGCAGAGGAGAGGTTTGTTCCCAAGGGAAACAAAAATAATGGGAAGAACAGAACGAGTCCTTGGTTCACCCAAAGGTGTAGGGAGGCAAAAACTAGGTGTACTAGAGAATGGAAAAGGTACAGAAGACAGAGAACTCAGGAAAATAAAGAGATTACCCGAAGAGCCAGAAACGAATATGCACAGATAAGAAGGGAGGCTCAGCGACAATATGAAAATGACATAGCATCAAAAGTCAAGTCTGACCCAAAGCTGTTGTACAGCCACATCAGGAGGAAAACAACAGTCAAGGACCAGGTAATCAGACTGAGGAAGGGTGATGGGGAGTTCACAAGAAACGACCGAGAGGTATGTCAGGAGTTCAACACGAGATTTAAAGAAGTATTTACAGTGGAAACCAGAAGGACGACATAACGGAAGGGATAGACTCAGAAGTGTCCTTGTTTGCAGATGATGTGAAGTTAATGAGAAGAATCAATTCGGATGAGGATCAGGCAGGACTACAAAGAGACCTGGACAGGCTACAAGCCTGGTCCAGCAACTGGCTCCTTGAGTTTAACCCTTCCAAATGCAAAGTCATGAAGATTGGGGAAGGGCAAAGAAGACCGCAGACACAACATAGTTTAGATGGCCAAAGACTCCAAACCTCACTCAAGTAAAAAGATCTGGGGGTGAGTATAACACCGAGCATATCTAGTGAGGCGCACATCAATCAGATAACTGCTGCAGTATACGGGCGCCTGGCAAACCTACGGATAGCGTTCCAATACCTCAGTAAGGATTCGTTCAAGACTGTATACCATTTACGTCAGGCCCATACTGGAGTATGCAGCACCAGTTTGGAATCCACACCTAGTCAAGCACGTCAAGAAATTAGAGAAAGTGCAAAAGTTTGCAACAAGACTAGTCCCAGAGCTAAGGGGACTGTCCTACGAAGAAAGGTTGAGGGAAATCTGCCTGACGACACTGGAGGACAGGAGGGTCAGGGGAAACATAATAACGACATATAAAATACTGCGCTGAATAGACAAGGTGGACAAAGACAGGATGTTCCAGAGAAGGGACACAGACACAAGAGGTCGCAATTGGAAGTTGGAGACTCAGGTGAATCAAAGGGATGTTAGGAAGTATTTCTTCAGTCATAGAGTAGTCAGGCCGTGGAATATCCTAGAAAGTGACGTAGTGGAGGCGGGAACCATACATAGTTTTAAGGCGAGGTATGATAAAGCTCATGGGGCAGGGAGAGAGAGGACCTAGTAGCAATCAGCGAAGAGGCGGGGCCAGGAGCTATGACTCGACCCCTGCAACCACAAATAGGTGAGTACAAATAGGTGAGTACACATACACACACACAAACACACACACACACACACACACACACACACACACACACACACACACACACACACACACACACAAACACACGCACACACACACACACACACACACACACACACACACACACACACACCACACACACACACACACACACACACACACACACACACACACACGATCAGTGAAGCGGCGGGGCCAGGAGCTATGACTTAACCCCTGCAACCACATATAGGTGAGTACATTTAGGTAAGTACACACAAACACACACACAGGTGTCCCTGTTTGCAGATGACGTGAAGTTGATGAGAAGAATTCATTCGATCGAAGACCAGGCAGAACTACAAAGGAATCTGGACAGTCTGCAGACCTGGTCCAGCAATTGGCTCCTGGAGTTCAACCCAACCAAGTGCAAAGTCATGAAGATTGGAGACGGGTAAAGAAGACCGCAGACGGAGTACAGTCTAGGGGGCCAGAAACTACAAACCTCACTCAAGGAAAAAGATCTTGGGGTGAGTATAACACCAAGCACATCTCCTGAAGCGCACATCAACCAAATAACTGCTGCAGCATATGGGCGCCTAGCAAACCTCAGAACAGCATTCCGACATCTTAATAAGGAATCATTCAGGACCCTGTACACCGTGTACGTTAGGCCCATATTGGAGTATGCGGCACCAGTTTGGAACCCACACCTAGCCAAGCACGTAAAGAAACTAGAGAAAATGCAAAGGTTTGCAACAAGACTAGTCCCAGAGCTAAGAGATATGTCCTACGAGGAGAGGTTAAGGGAAATCAACCTGACGACACTGGAGAACAGGAGAGATAGGGGGGACATGATAACGACTTACAAAATACTGAGAGGAATTGACAAGGTGGACAAAGACAGGATGTTCCAGAGACTGGACACAGTAACAAGGGGATACAGTTGGAAGTTGAAGACACAGATGAATCACAGGGATGTTAGGAAGTATTTCTTCAGCCACAGAGTAGTCAGTAAGTGGAATAGTTTGGGAAGCGAAGTAGTGGAGGCAGGATCCATACATAGCTTTAAGCAGAGGTATGATAAAGCTCACGGTGCAGGGAGAGTGACCTAGTAGCGACCAGTGAAGAGGCCGGGCCAGGAACTTGGACTCGACCCCTGCAACCCCAACTAGGTGAGTACAACTAGGCGAGTACACCTAGTAGCGACCAGTGAAGATGCGAGACCAGGAGCTGTGAATCGACCCCTGCAACCTCAACTAGGTGAGTACAACTAGGCGAGTACACCTAGTAGCGACCAGTGAAGATGCGAGACCAGGAGCTGTGAATCGACCCCTGCAACCTCAACTAGGTGAGTACAACTAGGCGAGTACACCTAGTAGCGACCAGTGAAGATGCGAGACCAGGAGCTGTGAATCGACCCCTGCAACCATAACTAGGTGAGTACAACTAGGTGGGTACACACATAAAAAAATAAATAAATAAGTAAAAATATAAAAATATATATAATATATATATTATATATATATATATTATATATATATATAATATATAATATATATATATATATATTGTTGTGGAGGATCACATTAAGGTAAGATGATGTTTCGCGTCAATAAAATCTAAATGTTAATGCCTGAGCTGAGGAAGATAACAGCTCTCAGCTTGTCAATAAACATAGCAACTCTAAAGCTAACGCTATAAAAACCCGCTATGTAAAAGAGAGAAAGTGAGAGAGTTGGTGGGGGGGGTTGAGCAGGTGTGAGGGATGCTGTAAGGGAGAGGAACGGTTGAGGGTAGGAAGGAAAGAGGGGTTAGAGTGAGGGGGCGCAGGTGTAAGTGATGCTGTGTGAGAGAGAGAGAGGGCGAGGGGTGGTGAGGGGAGGTGCAGTAGGTGTGTACGTGGGACCGAGGCTACATAAGGCAAGAGAGGGGGCGGGGCTGGCCAGTGTGGGCCTAGCTGTGGTAGCGGCTGGTCGGGCGTGGACACTGTAGTCTTACCCGCTTCCTGGCCGCACCTCACGTGCTCTAGCTTAGCCAAGGAACTATCACAGCGCACTAATCGTGCAAATTCCTCAAGTTAGGCAGTGTTAACAAGGGGATAACTGTGTTGTCAAGACCCGTAGCTCTGTTTATGTTCCTATATCCCTCGGTTATAGCATTGTAATGGTGTTCAGAAGATTTGTTACCCATCAACGTGTTCATTGTTTTCCTGGAGCTTAGACGAATTAGGATAATAGTAATCACTTTCTTAAAGAGGGGTGACACTTACCTAGAAGCAAGTGGTCTCTCCTCGAAGTCCCAGAGAAAGACTCGAAGTCTCGGTGAAAGACTCAAAGTCACAGAGAAAGACTCGAAGTCCCAGAGGAAGACTCGAAGTCAGAGAAAAACTCGAAAGTCGCTGACAAACGCTCAGAGTCGCAGAGAAAGACTCGAAATATGATCTGAAACACAAGAATATCAACTATAATATCAGGGATGGAGTGGTGGCCTATTTGGACTGCAAGAGCCTCCATCCCCACAATCTCCATCACCTCCGCCATGCCCTCCATCACCCCTACCATGCCCTCCACCACCGTCACCAGCAGGAGGAAGTGTGGTGTAGGAATAATGTTGGCGATCTTCACCATGTTGGGGTTCTTGATCGACGGAGTAGGTAAGTACAGCCTTGTTAGGGCTGAGAGAATGTTGGGGAAGAGGGGGTTGCTCAGGAATTGTTGGGGGTAATTAATGGAATTGACTGTGATGAAAGATAACTAATTGAACCTTGTTTAATTTGTTGGAGAAGAAAACAGATAAATTGCTTTTGTTGGTCAGGATGAAAGACTCTTTTTGAGTTTGATGGAGAGGAAGCTACATGACGTTCTTCCTGGAGAGAAAGGAAGATATCCTACAGAGTTTTTGGAAGAGAACAAGAGATACTATGTTGAGTTTGTTGGAGACTATATAATAGACAGTGTTGAGTTTGTTGGAGACTGTATAATAGACAGTGTTGAGTTTGTTGGAGACTATATAATAGTGTTGAGTTTGTTGGAGACTATATGATAGTGTTGAGTTGTTAGGGAACACACAAGAGACCTTCGTGACGTAGTGGTAGTTAACAAAGACTCAGGATAACGTTGATGGTCTCAGTTTTCATTAATGAAACCTAAGGACGGAAAACTTAACTCTTAACTCTTGACTGGTCAGGACACACCTGGTGGTAATGACTGGTCAGGACACTCCTGGTGGTAATGACTGGTCAGGACACTCCTGGTGGTAATGACTGGTCAGGACACACCTGGTGGTAATGACTGGTCAGGACACACCTGGTGGTAATGACTGGTCAGTTCACACCTGGTGGTATTGACTGGTCAGGACACACCTGGTGGTAATGACTGGTCAGGACACACCTGATGGTAATGACTGACTGGTCAGTTCACACATGGTGGTAATGACTGGTCAGGACACACCTGGTGGTAATGAATGGTCAGGACACACCTGGTGGTAATGACTGGTCAGGACACATCTCGTGGTAATGACTGGTCAGGACACACCTGGTGGTAATGACTGGTCAGGACACACTGGTGGTAATGCCTGATCAGGACACACCTGGTGATAATGACTGGTCAGGACACATCTGGTGGTAATGACTGGTCAGGACACACCTGGTGGTAATGACTGGTCAGGACACACCTGATGGTAATGACTGACTGGTCAGTTCACACATGGTGGTAATGACTGGTCAGGACACACCTGGTGGTAATGAATGGTCAGGACACACCTGGTGGTAATGACTGGTCAGGACACATCTCGTGGTAATGACTGGTCAGGACACACCTGGTGGTAATGACTGGTCAGGACACACTGGTGGTAATGCCTGATCAGGACACACCTGGTGATAATGACTGGTCAGGACACATCTGGTGGTAATGACTGGTCAGGACACACCTGGTGGTAATGACTGGTCAGGACACACCTGGTGGTAATGACTGGTCAGGACACACCTGGTGGTAATGACTGGTCAGGACACACCTGGTGGTAATGACTGGTCAGTTCACACCTGGTTGTATTGACTGGTCAGGACACACCTGGTGGTAATGACTGGTCAGGACACACCTGATGATAATGACTGACTGGTTAGTTCACACCTGGTGGTAATGACTGGTCAGGGCACACCTGGTGGTAATGACTGACTGGTCGGTGCACACCTGGTGGTAATGACTGGTCAGGACACACCTGGTGGTAATGACTGGCTGGTCAGTTCACACTTGTGGTAATGACTGACTGATCGTGTGACAACTGGTGATAATGACGGACTGCTCAGGTCATACCTGGTGGTAATGACTTGTCAAGACACATTTGGTGGTAATGACTGACTGGTCAGGTCGCACCTGGTAGTACTAACTGGTATCTTCCTCATTCCACTCACTGATCTTGACTTTCTCACTTGTATTGTTAACAGTTATTGCAGTAATAACACAGTTTGACTTCTCCTTTGGAGAAGGTTGTAACAATCCTCTCCAGCAGTATGTAGGCAAGATGATAAACCAGACACTTCTGCAATATTTGATTACCCTTATTATGGAAACGTTTAACCACACAGTGGCTTCTTCAGTCCAGTGCAGTAAAAGGTGGAATAAGAGGAGGAGTTTGAGGTAATTAGTCCCTCAGCCTTGAGTCCATCAGTTTTTGACAAAAGTGCAGCATATTCGCTGAGATGTGGCTTATATACTGACGAGAGATGAGGTGGAGCAGTGGTAGGCTGAGTCACCAGCGAACAAAAGCACTAGTGGAAGTAGGTCGTGTTTATAGATTATTCAAGTTTGAAGAAATCCCTGCAACAAGGTCCCAAGATATTGCTGTATCTGCAAAAGTGCCTCATGTATCAACGTATCTGTTTTGTAAACCTTTTATTCACATATAGGGTAGTACTGGTTTGGCAATAGAATTATAGATGAGTGGAACAAACCCTCAGGTAGCGTCACTGTAGCCAGAACGCTGTACAGCTTAAACAATACGTTGGACAGGGACAAAAGTGTAAGTTGGACATTTCTAGCATGGGCAGGTGTGCCACTACTCTTATGTTATTATATGTGTAGCAGAAGGCTGGTGAAATGTCCTTGGACCAGGGGACAAGATTTGGGACTCATCCTTAACCCTTCGAAGTGCATAATCATCTCAGCAAACCAGGAAATAATTACAGCTGTGCGAACAATCCTTCCTGAAGCCTCAACTTCCACCCTTTCCATGAGTATCGTATTGGGAGCACCGCTGGGTCATCAAGATATCAAAACAGTCCTCAAGGGCAAACTGAATGACCTGAAGAAGATGGAAGATAGAATAAGTGATCTGGATGCCCATGAAGTAGTGTATCTTCTCGCAAGGTGTCTAACTCTCCAAGATTAACTTATTTCTCCGACTGCCTAACACTTAGTGAAAAATGACGCACTCCTGAGATCTGTCTTTAGGAAAGCACTGAATCTGTCACTGGAAGATCACTATGGAATCAAGCAACTCTTTCAGTGTGACTGTAGGTATAGGGGTGCGCAAGGCAACAAAGGTAGCGTTACCTTCATTTCTGTCCTCGTGCATTACATCCAGTGGACTAGTTAAGGAGCTTGCAACCCAAAGCTCATCGAAGCAGTTGCGCAGTGGAAAAGCCTTGTGTACTCTTCAAGCAGGCCAGTTCCTTCCAGTCCTTCCAGAGGTAACAAGCAGTCTCAATGGAACAGACCTATCATGGAGAAAATAGCCCAGTGTTCAGCAGTGCCTCAGGAAAGGACAAAGCTCATCTCATAGCGGTGAAGGCACCACATGCTGGATATTCCCTTTTGTCTGTCCTTAACTCCTTCCTGGGAACCCGCCTTGACCCTCAGGCCATTCGGACTGCTGTAACTCTTCGCCTAGCCGCCCCCATACTCACCGAACACAGGTGTATCTGCAGTAGGGCGTCAGCTGATCTTATTGGGCTGCATGAGTCTCGTCTGTCATACATCGTATTGGAAGTATGCCAGACACGAAGTCGTCGGTGACATCATCAAACTATGTATCGCTACATCCCGTTGCTCAGGTACTGAGGCATCAGCTGATGGAAGCCAAAAGCATCCAGACGGTAGGCAGATTGCATAGGATTGCACCTATTCGTCTACACTGGCTGACACCTACTTACAGTACTCTGAAGCTCAATGAGGTGCTACCGCCAGTTTCAGGAAGACCCAGAAGATCAACAAATACAGAGTGCTGGCACTATGCTATAACTTCGTCACGACAGGGAGGGAGACCCTCGGAACATGGGTGGGGTGACAAACTCATCATGGATCTGAGTTGTTCATGATTGTTGTTCTCCTTCCCATTGCATCATTTTAAATGTGTTTTGTTTAGCACATAGGAAGTGGTAAGAGAAGAGAACTTGTCGGTACCAATTACCAACGTTTATACCAAGAGAATAATCAGGACTTGGAGAGAAACCCTCAGAGTTTTTCCTGATGTACGTTTATTCTCTTTTGTGAGACTGTGGGTCCCCAGTCACTTCCAGAGGTGTTACCTCCAAATAATTTTCCTTCAAACCTTTGTACACACACACACACACACACACACACACACACACACACACACACACACACACACACACACACACACACACACACACACACACACACACACACACACACACACACACACATTGTGTCTGTGTCCCATCTCTGGAACATCCCGTCTTTGTCCACCTCGTCTATTCCGCGCAGTAAAATACTGCGCGGAATAGACGAGGTGGACAAAGACGGGATGTTCCAGAGATGGGACACAGACACAAGAGGTCACAATTGGAAGTTGAAGACTCAGATGAATCAAAGGGATGTTAGGAAGTATTTCTTCAGTCATAGAGTAGTCAGGCCATGGAATAGCCTAGAAAGTGATGTGGTGGAGGCAGGAACCATACATAGTTTTAAGGCGAGGTATGATAGAGCTCATGGGGCAGGGAAAGAGAGGACCTAGTAGCAATCAGCGAAGAGGCGGGGCCAGGAGCTGTGACTCGACCCCTGCAACCACAAATAGGTGAGTACAAATAGGTGAGTACACACACACACACACACACACACACACACACACACACACACACACATATATATATATATATATATATATATATATATATATATATATATATATATATATATATATATATATATATATATATATTATATATATATATTGCGCACATAAGAGGAACGGAATTTGACGGCTGATCTTTTGTACTGACATGAAGTACAGTAGAATATATAAGGAGAGAGACATAGCAGTATGGACATATTAACAGTGTGTAGCGGGTACGAAAAATTTGACATGTGAAAACAAAGAGAATTCTACTTACAGGAAGAATTTTATCATAATTTCTTTCGCTTAACAGGAGTCAGCTGAGAGAGGCACACCCCTCCCCTCCCATCCCCTCCCTTCCCCTTCCCTCCCTTCCCTCCCCTCTCTCACCATCACAACAAAAGCAAATATCCCTAAAAACCGATATTTTTAGCATTAAACTGGAGGCATTACCACACATTTGCTCCATAAGCAGGGAAGTTTTACAGGCAGATAGGGGAATATTCTGGTACTCCTGTTACCAGAGTGTCTCTGTGCTGGCTGCTGGTGTGACAGTGTTGCTTGTGATGCCAACACCAGTGT